CCTCCCCTCAGCGCGGCGGCCGGACCGGGCCGGGCGGGCCGGGCCGGACGAGGGCGTTACCTGGCGGCCCGGGGCCCGAGTCAGCGACCCCCGCCCGGCCTCCCTCGCTCCTGCCCTCGGCCGCGGTCGCTGCCCCGTTCCGTCCTCACAGCGCTGCCATTACCCAAAGCCGCTCGCGCCCCGCCCTCCGCAGGCGCTGCCACTGCCGGGGTCGGGGCGCGGCCCCGCGGCTCTGCTCGGTGCTGTTGCCGCCGCGCGGCCGCCTCACCCGCGGCGCGGCCGCCCCCGGGTTCTCCCCGCTGGGCTCTCCCCGCGGGCCGCAGGATGAGCCGGGGCCGACGGGTCCCGGCGCTCCGTCACTTTTCGATCGCACCCTCCCCCGCCGGAGCAGCGAGGTTTGGTACAGCCCGCACTGTACGGCGAGCGCGGGCGGCCGCACTTCCAAGCGGCGGGGCGGTCGCCGCGCACGCGTCACCCCGCCTCCATGGCGGGAGCGGTCTCGTCCCGCGCCTTCCCGACATGGAGTCGTGGGGCACGGGAGCTGGAACGGCCCTCTCCCGCGGGCGCGGCGTTCCCGGGCTTCGTGTGAGGAGGTCGCCGTTACCTCAGAAGGTGGAAGTGTCCCCGTCCCGCCGCCGGCTCCAGCAGGGAATTTCCCCAGCTTCCAGCACCCTGCTCCGGCGCGGGACTCCCCGGGCAGCGCCCCGGCCCCGGCTGCCTCGGGAGAGGGCCCGCCGTGCCCGTGGGGGCCTCGGCGGAAAGGGGCAACACAAAGTTGTTGGGTGGAAGTAACAAAGTAGAGTCGCTGTGGAGACCAAGTAGCCGGGCGGGCTCACGTGCCCCGGGCGCACGTGCGCGCTGTGGGAGCCCCCGGGACACCGGCCCGGGCCCGGCGCTCGCGGCTGAGCAGAGTGCTCGGTTTAAAAAAACAAAAAATTAAAAAAGGGATTCACTTAGAGCACATAGTGCAGCTCTCCGTAAGAGATAATAGTCTTCTGGAAAAACAGGCATTTATTCCTGAAAATTCTCTATTGTTCAAACTACTCAAAACTCGCGTCAAAATAATTGCTTTCCCTGTTTTCAAATCAAGCCCTGGCCCATTTCATTTCCAGTGCTTGCAGCTTTATCATTAAGCCTTAATGCTTTCCTTTGTGTTCTCTTTTAAAATTATTTTTATTAGCTCCTTCTAGACATTTTAAACAGCACATCAACTTCCTCTGTTTTCACCCTAAAGCCCTTTATTTTTCTATTCTGCTAGTTTAAAGCTTTTCTATTTGCAGGGGGAAGGGGGAGGTAGGTGGTAACTTTAAGCTTTTGAGTGCTTGTTATTTTCTGTAAGTGTTGGATTGTATCTGTGGTGCTTTCTCCTTTTTTAAGGACTGAAGGCTCTTTTTTAATGGTAGCGTTAGCCACAGTCTTGTGAGTTAAACTCTTAGAAGTTCAAATATATGCTGGCACAATTTAATAATGCTATTTAACCGTGCTGTGTGAATGTATGAATTGTACAAGATCAGATATCACAAGTTAGACAGCCATTAATGAAAAACATCCTTATCTATACACTACCCAAACATTACACACTACATATTTTCTACATTTCTGTTATATAAGGAAGTTTAGTCCTAAGTTAACTGTTATAAACTGGAAACATAGATACAGGAAAGGAGGTATTTTCAAAACTAATAATTTGGGTTGTTCTGTGTGGAAGAATAATGTAGTAATTTTCTGAAATTATTAATATTCACAATAAGCACAGACTTCAATTAGGCACCAAATCCACAACTATTCTGCACACTCTGTTCTACAAGGCTGCAGTTGAGGAAGCACAATTAGGGAGTCACAATTCAGAGAAAGAACATGAATATTTGTTCTGCTTTTATGTAAGGTATTTAAAAGCTGTTCTTGGATTTATATATATTTAGAAAATAACAATTTAAATGTGTTTAGGAAATAAGAATTCCAGAGAATTGCCACCTGAAAACACAGAACAGGGTACTGCAGGAGTCAGATGAGCAAGCTGGGCGCGTTACTGTGTGTGTTGCTGAGGTCATCTTGCCACTCCCACAGTGCTGCCTGTGCTTCCAATAGAACAAATGTTCTCATACAGTCCATTAAGAAACAATTATAATGTATCTGCCAAGAGCAAAACTTGTGCATGTGCACCAATGCTTTATGTGAGTGGATATGTGATTTACAAATCAGTGAGTTCAGTTCAGTGCTAGCTCTGTGGTGGGGCTGCTCCTACCTGCTGAAGCCCAGATGTTGATCCTCTGAATTAACCTGCTGCTCAGACATGCCCACACCAGCCAGCAATGAAAGCTGCCCTTTGGCAAAGCATGACCAGTTAGGGTGTCCCCAGCTACCTCAGTCACGTCTTGATGCATTTCTTGATGACAGCAGATGTGCAGACCTACATTAAATCCTGTTTGACCAAGGCTTGGTGTTGTCTCTCAGCAGTTTTAGATAGAGAAGGCATCAATGGGGAACAGATGGAAATTCTGGAAGTTTTTGCAGGATAGTCCTATGGAGAAGTCAACTTCTTCCCAGTAAATTCTTACCAGTTCTTTATATATTGTTGATTATATAGTGAGCGACACAGTTTATTTCCTACTACATGCATGTGCCACCTTAAGACTTTGCCACCACATATACAAATTTATATTTCTTTGATTACATCTGCTATCAAGTCTGCTCACTGTCCTAACCAGTATTGTAGTATTTCCTGAGTTATTTATGTGTATTTGTTTTCTCTTATCTGATACTTCTGTTTCTCTGTCTGTTTGCATTAACTTGTTTTCTTTTATCTTATGTAATTAATACTTTTGGAAGGAGCTGTCTATTTGGTTTATGTTGATGCTACATCTGACACTATTATTCTGGTACAGAACTAGGAATCCCACAGCCCTATGGTAATACAAACACTGTATTAAATTTGCAACTATACCACCCACCGTTTTATTTAAAGCTGGTTTAGACTGCAGTCTGAACTGATACTGAGTATCCACATTCCCCACCACCACCATGCCATTTGCAAATGCCTTTCATGTTACTATCTGCTCTTCTTGTCTTTGACTTAAAATCCTATTTTTAGATTAACATATTGATTAGCCTTTTTGATGGAGAAAATGAGAATATTGACTGGATTATTTATATTATATTCAATTTTTACTAGATTTAGTCTAGATTTACTAGAGTTAGTCTGCATTATTGATGCAGATAAAAATACAAATTTTTTTATATAATATTTTTCTTCTGAAAAGAAGATAAATGAAAGCAAGACTTGACCTTTATTTCATTAAAGCTATTTTAATCTAGACTTTTATTTTGGGTATTTGTCTTTCATGTGGTAACGTGCAAAATATATGTATAAACTGAACAAATATTTTGTGATTGCAAAAAATGCGCAGTAATTAGGTATTATTCTTGTAGATTTCTTTAAGTTTATGAAGAATTTTAAATGTGTGATTATTTAATCTGCTTTAACCCCTTTAATTTTCTTTAAGAAGCAGACGCTCGCTGCACTCCTGGCCACAAGATGGCAGCACGGAACTGAGGTGCTGGAGCTGTGGAGAAGGGGAATGAAGCTGTGAAGAATACAGAAAATAAACCATAGGAGAATGCAGCAGGGGCAGCTGGAGTATTTGGCTTTGAGGAGTCTCAGGGCAGAACTTATTTCTCTCTATAACTCCTTTAAAGGAGATTGTAGCCATGTGGGGGTCAACCTCTTTTCCCAGGCAACCAGACAGGATGAGAGGAAGTGACCTCAAGCTGCGACTGGAGATGTTCAGGCTGGACATCTGGAAGAATTTCTTCACTCAGAGGGTTGTCAGCCATTGGAATGGGCTGGCCAGGGAGGTGGTGCACTCACCATCCTGAGAGGTGTTCAAGAAACAACTGGATGTGGCACTTAGTGCTATGGTTTATTTGAAAAGGTGGTGTTCAGCCAGAGGTTAGACCTCCATGACCTTGGAGGTCTTTTCCAACATCAATGATTTTATAATCCTATGATTTTATGAGCAGACAATGTGAGAGGAAGGCAGCTGCTGCTTTTTGTTTGCTAGGCACAATGTTTTGGGGAAAACAGTCATGTAAATCTTGAGTGGTTCCACCACTCTACCAAAAATGGTAGATACAGCTCTATGGCATCTGTGTATGCAGTATGTATAAATATATACACAGATGGAAGAAAAACACCCAAAACTGGTGACTGCAAAACCCCTAGTGATGATGACTCTTAGGCAACATAACTTAATGTTGAGACAAGGTTGAATTTGCAGAGCTGTTATTTCCAGAAAAAAAAAAAAAAAGGAATAAGAGCAAATAGTATCTGTCTCTACTAAAATACGATAAATGGGACATGTCTAGTGTCCATTTCTAACATGTCATTGTCCAAATTAAACTTGGCATCATTCCATTTCCTTGGGTTTTCTTGAAAAATTACTTTATAAAAGTATATATATTTGTCTCTCAAATGATCCAGTAAAACGCATATTTCATACTTAATGGAGATGGAAACCTGCTGTAGTGTGCAAAAGTGCTAGACAAATAGAATGACAAAAACCAGCTCATAAATAAACCAGGTGGCAAAATAGCATCATCAAAGAGATAAATTAGTTGAGCTAGCATTTGATGAAAGATATATCCTTTTCAGAAAAATATGTTTCTTTAGCCATTTATCTGTATCACTGGTAGATTAAGAACTAACAATTCTTGACATGAAAGAAATACAGAAGCTCTCTCACATAAACACATTGCAAATAGCCTGACAATCTTCTGTTACACAGAATACTCTTCCATTTAGTTATTTTTCACTTGTACCTCTTCCCTTTATAGATCCCAGACACCTTTACCTTGGTCCACTTATTCAGCAGCTTTTGCTTTTCATTTTATTTTCTTCATTCTTGCTCTTCACTATAATTTACAACCATTTACCACCAACAAAACAATCTGCTCCCCCATCAAAAACAACCTACAATTGCTAGAAAATCTAGTCTACAGCCATTGTGTAAACCAAATGCAAATTCTTTTTTGTGTATATTTTTCATTGAATATTTTTAATAAATATGAACACTTTGTATGTGTATGGCTTTTACTGCATCATCTGAATGCTTGATGTCATTCACCTTTGTGTGAGGTAGATCCTCAATGTCCTGTTAGTGCTGGCCACATTCCTGCACTGGCTTACTGTGCCTTACAGGATACCTCTTTTTCAAGGCACAGTTGTATGCCAACTGATTGGCATATCCATATTCCTGTGGCATAGTGTATTCACATTCAACTACAAACTGTTTTCTGTGTGCTTCTTTTAACACAGCCTATTCAGAAAACTTTTAATAGTAAAATTTTAAATACATTTAAATACATTTTACGTATTCAAATTTTAAATACAATTCAAGCAGTTATTTGGAAATTTAATGTTCATGCTATAAGTACAAAATAATGCTTTATACAAACCCGGTACTTTTCACCTGAGAAGTTCAATGATCTCTACAAACAGCAATAAATTGTAAATGGCTATGAACAGTGTGAAGTACATGTTACATTCATGTTATGAGGAAGGTATTATATAAGTAAAGTTCATTGTTCAGCACAGGAAATGAAAATTTCATGTAGTAGATCTAAGTTACCTCTTTTTTTTCTGCTGTAACAGAAATATCATTACTTACATGTCTTGAAGTCACCAGTCAATTCTTTTAACATTTCAGATGCCTTACATTTTTCCTTAGTCAGAATATTATTTTCCCATTATAATAATTTCTCTCATTAAATGAATACGCAACAAATGAGTATGCAGAAATTTATACACTACCAAGTTATTTGTCAGACTACAAGTTTCTCCATTGTTTTGTTAGTTCTGGCTCCAGCATGTGGGGAGGCAACAGTGCTGGAGACCTGACCTAGGACCAGTAGATTAGGAGACAAAGAGTCTGAATCCTGTCAATTCTCCTTGTGACTTACAAACACCATTCCAGGTATCTAACTACCCATTCACAAATCATTTTAGCCATTTGGGTTGTTGTTCAAGCAGTGATTAATAAAGTGATCACAGTCTAGCTGCTAGCGTACTCTCGTACTCTGATTTGCTTTGCTATATTTTGGTGCATCAGTAAATACTTCATGCCAGACAGTAGCATATGACTTGGGATACCTGTTTTGTACTTAGAAATTTAAATTTCTTATTACAAATCCTAAAAAAAAAAAAAAAAAAAAAAAAAGCAAACAAGATGAACAAAAACGAACCACATTATAACATTGTATTCATCTTTGGAGTGTAAAATATTGTAACATTACTGCAACTTATTATTCAAAATCAAATCATTACAAACCCAAAAAATCAAAGTAATAATAATTTTAAAAACTGACCTAGAATAGTACTTGATAGCCCCTTCACCAATAATAGCGTCCAACCCTACCAAATAAAGAAAGCCTATTGTTACATGGCACAAGGCAAAGTAGAGCTAGCTGAGGTACTGCAAAGCCTCACAGCTGTTAGGCCAGGCTTCTCACTAAGCCAGACCTGGGACTCCTCAAGGCTATTCCTTCCTGTGCTTCTGGCTTATGCAACCCACAAAAGTCAAGGTGGTGCCTTAACACAGCACTACTTTAGGCAGTATTGATTTTCAGAGGTTCCAGTGATAGACAGAAGCAAATAAGAATAAAAGGATCATCAATTTGTTCTTGTACTACTCATACTCAGTTTTATTTCCAATTTGACACAGTTTGGAGAAGGAGAGATTACAAAATATTTACATTTCTACAGATGTGTAACTATTAAAAAAAACTATATACATTAAAAAATATTTACAAAGCTTTTACCTCTTACAATATTCTTCAATGTTTGCCTTTCTATGGGTGTGCAATATCTGGGTCTATTTGTGAGCTAATTGAAATCCATATTTGTCTTGCATTGCTAGGAATTTATAAAAGAATAGGTAAAATAAATTATTAGTCTTATATTTTATATTAATTAAAGTGTACCTCTTGCCTAATCTGTTCTCTGTACCAGACTGATTAGGATTCTGTTGCAGCATTCAGATATTGTCTACTTCTGACTTTCATCACATTCACAAAATGAATTGTGAAAACAGTGGCTGTGTGTTGACTGCACTTTCCTGTGACCATGCTGCAAGTTCTGCACTTGTCCCTCTGTTTCCTTGCAGGCAATGAAAGAGCAGATGTAGGGTTATTCAATGATTGGCTGAAATTGGAGTGGCCCATGAGGAGATCTGTGGGGAAATTATGAACCACTAAGTGTCACTATTATTTCCAATAGCATACCAGTCTATTTTTCTGACAGTTTTACCTGTATTACCTCCAGATGTTTGGATTCTAATTAAAGAGAAATTGACAACTAAGCTAGGTAGCATAACCATTTTGCTGTCATTGTTTATGCCAAGACAATCCATGAACTTTTTCACAAAAAATCTAAACAGGTGTTTCATAAGACTAGAACTAAAATTCACAAAATTCTTTCAATCCCCTTAACAAATCTATTTAAAAGATAGCTGTGAGATCCATATGTAGAATCAGTTGTCTGAAAATTACACAGATAGCACTCCTACTGATGTAATGTGCACTGGTGAAATATTTATCTTCTCTGCAAAGAGCACCATGTTTCTTTTTGGTGCCAAATGAACTCCCTGTTCATCTATCACCCCCCCTGGTTAAGGTCATACTTCTCTGTGTGTGAGGGTGCAGTGGATCTGACTTAAGAATTGATCCAGGTTGAAAGAAACTTAATGACTCTGACCACCAAAGTTAAAAAACAAAACAAAACAAACAAAAAACAATGGACATTTCAAGATAGAGAGAAAAGAAAACTCAGGCAGTCATTCTGACGGCAGCAAAGAGCCTGGATTTCAAGTTTGTGTTCTTTCATAAATGATGAAAATCACAACAAATCCTGACTTCTGTGACCTTCTTATGGATTGCTTTTGGTCTCAGCATTTGAAATTAAACGGATTCACATCAGGCATTGATCCCAATTCAAAGAGAACTGTTTCTAGTCTAAGTGAGCACTTTTGTGGCACAGGTTGGTCTGGCCTGAGGTAACAAACATGGTACTGCAGCCCTGCTGCAGTAAGAACACAACACAAGGCCCTTTTCATTCCCTTCCTCTTCCAGCCCACCAACTTCAGAGAGCTGCATCAAGAGCCAAATCTGGTTAGTGATCTTTGTATCACCAAGGTCTAAGGCACTCTGGCAGTTCACTTATACCTCTGATACACTTCATTACGAGAGAAGTGGTATAAATAGTAATAAATTCTTAGTTAAACATTTCAAAGTATTTATGGGTTACTTGAAAACTAATAAAAAAATAACTGTTTGTCCAAATCCAGGCCCTAAGAGTTCATGGAAATTCTCAGTTTGTTTAGAGGTAACTCACTCTTACTTGGAAACTAATAAAAATATAACTTTGTCCAAATCCAGGCCCTAAGAGTTCATGGAAATTCTCAGTTTGTTTAGAGGTAACTCACTCCAGTGGTTTCCATTATTTAACACTCTCATTTGAAATTTCTTCCTGTCCGTACTAAGACTTCTAACTTCAAAAATATTTTTGAGGTGCTGCTCAGGTAACTCACTCCAGTGAGTTAACACTCCAGTGTTAAATAATCATTCCATTATTTAACACTCTCATTTGAAATTTCTTCCTGTTTGTACTAAGACTTCTAACTTCAAAAATATTTTTGAGGTGCTGCTAATATCCTAAGAGCCATTTTTGGCTTTTTGAGTATACAAGGCAAAACTAGAATTTTTTTCCAAAGGTTTCAGCAGAGTAATTCTCAGTAGTTTAACACTTGCCTGTTCATTTGATTATCTTACCATTCTAACAAATATTTTTAATTGACAAGAGAAAACATATCTTTTAATGAATGAGCAAAACGATAATGTATGTAATGGGTGAGATCTTAAAGCAGAATTCATTACAGGAAGAGAAAGTCCTATTTAAAAACCCAGAACAGACACATAGTATATATGCAACAAGCAAAGGAAGGGAAACAGAACTCAAAACAGGAAGGGGGTATTCGATATTTCAACAAAGGAAATGTAGGATGAAAACTGAAAACTTGCACAAGCAATAATGATAATTGAAGATTCTGTATTTTTTCCACTAGATTGCAATTTAGATAGCTGCGTTAAGCAAGTCCTGTGAAGCAAATGAAAGAACTAAATGCTTAAAGGCAAAACCTTTGCAAATAAATATGATTCATCCCTTGTGAAGTCAGAGATAAGAGTTATTTGTTTTTTTTTTAAAAAACACAGGAAATCAATACGCAGGTTTTCTCCATGCCATGAATAAGACTGAGTGTTTGACCTGTGTGGACCTATCACCAATCCTGACACACACATCCTCCAATTCTTCAATCACAATGAGTTATGTGAAATTAACTTGGGTTTTTCATGTTTATTTAGCACACTGAGTAGATTCTCACAGTAAAAAAAAAAACAACAAAAAACCTAAACGATAAAAATGGGTAAATACACGACGTAACCTCAGAATACATGTGCAGTGATGTATACACATCCAATTTAAAAGTTACTGCAGTATAATCCCTTCTAACACTACTTTGTAAAATACTGATCAGCAATAAGACATACGATGTGCAAACACCCATAGTAACAGTTTATGGCTTACGCGTTTATTGCATTTTAACGTTATTAACCCTGAGCCGGCGGGCCCTGCGCTCACACCTACAGCACAAACCCGACATGACTCAGGACATTTGGACGTACTGCCGTGGCAGCGAGCGGGGCAACACGCACGTCGCTCCCGCTTGTTGCCTCTCGGCAATTTCTGATTTACTCAGCCAAACAAATGTAAAATACTATGTCATACCATGAATGACTGATGTAAGGAACGTGCTTTTACTAAGCAGAATTACAAAACAACCTGCGGGCAGCACCTCGGCGGGGCGGCCTCTGGGCAGGTTTCCGTGTCCCTCAGGGCTCCGGCACCGCCCAGGGGACAACCGGGGGTTGTGCCGCGTCCCTTCCCTAGGTCAGCGCGGGGACGGCCGGGGCTGGACCGTGCGGGGGCGCCCAGCCAACCGCCCTTATCGGCGGGGCCCGGCCGGCGCGGCGAGCGGCCGGCACCGCCCCGCTATCGCACGCCCAGAGCGCGGCTCGGGGACCGCGCGCGGCTCCGCCTCCCGCCGCGGCCGCTGGCGCTGGGAGGCCCCACAGACGCCATTTCCTCGGCGCCCCCGCGGCGGCGCGGCTGCATCAGCGCTGACGTGAGACCGACGTGCGGCTCCGCCCGGCCCGGTCCCCCCCACCCCCTGTGACGGGGGCAGCACGTACAGGGCGGCGGGTGAGTGCGGGAGGGGGCGGGGACACGTGTGCGCGCAGCCCGACCCCCCGCGGGCCGGGAGCGGGGCAGCGCGGAGGGCAGCGGGCGGCGCGGCGGGCAGGGCCGGCAAGGGCAGGGCAGGGGAGGCGGCGGGGGCGCGTCCCCGTCGGCAGCCGAGAGCGCGCTGCGCTCAGGGCGGGAGCGCGCGGGAGGCGGCGGGGGCGCGTCCCCGTCGGCAGCCGAGAGCGCGCTGCGCTCAGGGACGGCCGCGCAGAGCCCGCACGGCGCTGTGAGGCGGCCCCGAGGCGGCTGCGCGTCCCGGGAATTCCGGAAGGGTTGCTCGGAGCGCCGGCTCCGCTGCCGCCCGGGAGCCACGGCGTTCGCCGGGCTCCAGCAGGCGGTGGCTCCAGCGCTTGCTCGGGGCACCGGCTCGGCTCGCCCGGCGATGCGGCTCGGAGCGGGGGTAGCGCCTGCCCGCTGCGGGCAGAGCGCCCCGGACGGCCCGTCCTGCGGTCTCCGCGGGGATGCCCCGGCCGAGGGGAGCGGGGGTGCCCGGTGGCGTTTGCCCCTCAGTCCGTTACTCCCGGTTATAGCCTTGCCCACAGGGCTTTCGGAGCTGGGTCAGAACAAGTGGGGAGGGATCGCAGTGGGCTTCGTGAGTCCGAAGTCTTGCGTGAAACTTTTGTCTGCATCCCCCGCTGCTGTGATAGCATCATTTTTGGTGCTGAGTGCAACCGCGTGTTGAGTGATGCCGCGGGGACTGATGGTGATTGATCCTCTGGCCTGCCCAGGGGCTGGTCGGGTCCCTCTGAAGGGGCTGTGTGCAGTGTCTGCATTGTTGGGGTGGCAGGTGCCGGGTGGCCAGGTAGCATTGCCTGTGCTCAGAGTAGTGGCACGCTGGGGTTTTAGGAGTTTGGGGTTTAGGGTTTAGCTGAGGTGTTCAGAGAAGAAAATAAGGAAATAAGAGTGTAGGAGACACAAGAATCTTAGTGATGGTGGTACTGAAAACGGAAAGTGTATAAGAATCGGGTCTGTTGTGCATTTTACTTGACTGAATTCTATGATCCCCTTATCAGCTGGTGTCCTTCATGCCACCAGGGTGGTAACACAGTTATTACAGAGCTGATAGAAAACACAATGTCTGAAAGAAGTGTATTCTGAGAGTTTCCACACTCACTGTGGGGTCATCAATAAATGCAAAACAGGTGTTTGTAAATTCACATTCTCACTTTCTAGTAACTCCCGTGTGAATAAAAACCTTCAAAGAGATTTGGAGCAAGGGCTGAAACATATTTTTTAGCCCCTAATGATTGATTTCCTTTATATCAAACTACATTTGTAAGTGGTCCCTGATGTATAAAGGATGGTTGAAATAAAAAAGTTGTTTTTAAAAATGTCTCTGGGTATTTATTTAGGCAGTCACACACTTCCAGTTATGCAAAATACTATAGCAGTCTGGTTTTGCAGTGTAATTTCATCAATAGACATTAAATATTATGTTGATATGCAGTGATGTAAAACAAACAGCAGTACTGGGAGGAGTGTAAGGATTTCTTGTGTTCTTTATTGCAAAAGAACATGTCTTGTTAGGGATGCTATCCTTCGTCTCTTACCTATGGGCAAAAATATAAAGAATTAACACCTTTAGCTGTAAATTGCTTTGAATTTTCTAGGAAAGATTTTCTGTTTTCCTCTAGCTGATTCCATCTGTCAGATTTCTCCTGTCAGGGGTGGTTCATCTGATCGCAGTTGAAGAAGCTTTTGATGTGCGCTCTATGCATAATCTTAATCAGTGATTATCTGCTACTGATCACTGACCTGCTGTCCATTAGTCTCAGTGACTACAGTAAACGTGTGCTTATACTGGAATGTTGCAAGTATGAAACAGTTAAACTTCCTGCCAGATCCTGAACATCTCTTTGCAATGTTGTAGGACGAAGCAGGTATCTTTGCTTCATTACGGATAACCGTTCTTGTCCCCTTTTTGTGTGTGTGCAGAGGTGTAACTTGTTTATTAATTTAAAAATACAGACTAGTATTTAAAATTATTGTTCAGTCTTTGTAAGTAACTAAGATAAAAATATAAGAAAAATATGTATTAATAATGAGTATAAGACTAAAACTTGTATGTAATTAGTAATACAATGAAGAAAAAACATCATGTAATTTTAAACAGGACCCAAGGCCACTTACTTTAAACTATTTGTTTAGTATTCCTTTCAAAATAGAAGGAAGGTTATGTAAACTTTTAAGTGTGATGTGTACTGCTACTGGTAGGCTTTTATAAAGGATTTTAAGGGTTTGGTGGAAAATTCTGTTTTTCTTTCTTGGAAACTTAATAGCAATGAATATGTTACAATTTGCTTGCAATGCAGACTGTTTGAGTGTGATATGTGTGGAAACTGTTTTCTGAATTGGATTAGTAACAGTTTCATTCCACAGTCTGTATTGCTGATGTTTTACAAAAAGCATAGATACAGTATTGCTCAGTATTTTTTCTTTTTATGTATTAAAAACTTTGATGTATTCATGTTGATGTGATGTGTAGTGCAGGAAATAAAACCCCTGTACAATTCAGGTTATAAAAGCGCTCTGAAGACAGTGACAACCTAGCCTGAAATTCAGGAGTTCCTTGGCGTGCCCGGTTTGCGCTGTGCACAAGCCACATGAACTGGCACAGCTCGGTGTGACTGTGCCACCGCTGACCCTGTGGGCTCAAATGACTTCAGCTGACCTGCTCCTGCCAGCTCCGTGATCCCATGGTTGTGTCTATCAGTCCTAATCTTGTAACCTGTCTGCATTGTGATACTAATGTGCTAGTTTGTCTTAAGTCATCGTTCCCACTGAAGTTTTATGCCAAGGTAGCTCATGTATCTTTTAAAATTACTCATATACTTCATATATTTTATTTTTTTTTTAGGCTGTGATTGGATTTTTATATTTGGATGTTGTTTTAAGTCAAGTCACTATTTGATCACAGAGGTTGTCAAAAAGAAGCAGGTTTGAGCTTATCTAGGAAAAGTATTTTGTTATGTTTCAGAGTAGTGACTGCATTTTATGGCAGTCAAATTTTCAGACTTTACTTCACCCTGCTAAATATTTTAATTAAGCAATCATTTGTATTGAGAGTCAGAATATGCACAATTATAGATGGAAAATCTATATAAATTCTGGAGTTTTCCAAGTATATCATAAATCTCAATTATGTTTGTCGCTCCACTGACATGTATCGTTCTTGCTGTTGTTTTTCTAATTAAAGATCAATCATCAAAAATACACCCCTTTCTCTGTGCTGCATTTTGCAAAATATGAGAAATAACTTTGATAGATTTTCTGCTGCACTGATGCTCTTTTTGTAGCTTTTTGCTAATTTAGTGCAGCACTACAAATGAAAGGTCTTGGGGAGAAAAATCCTGATAAAGTAGAAGTAAATGCATTTTCATACTGTTCTGCAATCAGTGAGAAATTAAGCTAAAAATCAGGAACTAAATTTTTTTCCAAGATTAAAAATTACACTTTCTGGGTAAAATTTCTGTGAAATGCATTCAGTGGGAATAAAAGTACTTGGGTTTTTTGTTGTTTGTTTTTGGTTTTTTGTGTTTTTTTTCAACAGTAGGTTTTCTGTGACAGATGGCTCTGGATACAAAAATACTTCAGGGCCTTCATAAAGTGAATTGATTCTGACTGCATTCCCATCTTTAGGAAGAGATTACAATGAATGTGTTGCCAGTACCTAGGCATTATTTCTTCTTCCTTGGTGTGTGAGCTGTTCTGAAGCCTATTCTTACAAGAACCACATAGACCTTTCATATTTGAGACTTTATGGGTGGCTCTAGTTTACAAAGGAATAACTTCTTTTCGCTCCTTCTTTATTATATTGCACATGTATAAAACCAGAATATTTTAATTAGGTAACATCTTCTTATAGAAAATTATGGTGAAAAGCTTGGTGAAAACATTTTCCCCAGAGCTGTTACACTTTGGTGAATTTCAGTGGATATTTAATTAATTTGTATCTAAACAAAAAGGTAATTAGTGGTAACTACAAGAGAAAAACGTAAAAAGATTTTAGGTGTAAAATAGCTCCCTAGGATTGTAATCTGAATTGATACTGGCATAGGGCATGTAACTTCTCTGAGCAGAAATATTCATGTCAACCTATAAAATGTTGAATTGTTTTGCAGCTTTGCTGCAATTAGCTATAGTACTGTTAAGTCTGGTCAGTAGAGTACCAAGGCATATAAGCTAGAAATATGCTTTGACTGGTATCTTTCCATATTTTCATGCCTTTACTTTGGGCAAAATTTTGTTAAAAAAAAAACCCTAATAAAAATTATTCTCTTCAAAGATTGTGGAATGTTCTGTAAAATACTGCCACAAAAGGAGTTTGGTTTACATATAATTTGATTTAATGTAGTTAACTTATAAGAGGGTCTTAATTCCAAAGCCTCAGAGTCAGGTGGGTAGCAGTCCTTGCCTGCCTCTTGCATCTCTCAGTGTAAGTCCTGAGAAGAAGCCAAAGTAACTCTTAGCCAGTTGAAATAATTGAACTTTGGCCTCAGTCAGGCTTGTCATCCCCTAGTGACAGAAACTGAACTTGGGGAACCGAGATTTGCTGCCTCTTACATCTCTCAACTAATATCATGTCTTCTTTTTGAGGCTGTCAGTGGTTGTGTAAGTAGGGTGTAGGTGGGAGCGTGCCTGCAGGGCGCCCTGCCTGCCTCTACCTGACCCTATCCTGTCTCTGTTCTGTTTGTAAACTGACCTGTTGCCATGGCAATGTTTGACATCACCTGTTCAATGTTGCACCTTCAGTGCAGGGTTTGGTAGGAGAGAAAGGGAGCCGAAGAGATCCAAGCTCTTGTTTTAAAACTCACACCTTCCGTTATGACTAAGTGTGCCAAGAAATATCGAAAAGGAGCTGTCAGGTAATTGCATTTTTATATAGCAGATATGTAGCAGATTGGGAGGTTTTCTATATGAAGTTTAAACTCTTAGTTTAAATTGAGGGTCAGCAAGTTCTTAGTTTTCAATGAAATCTATCCTACTTTTAAACCTGTAAAGTGAGAAGAATTGTTGTGGCTCTTGAGCCATGAGTAGTTTACAGACAATTCAAGTGTAATGCCAGCAGGGAACAGGCATCTTGGAAGGTTCAACGGGGCTGTAGCAGCCCATGAGGCTGAAGGGACCTTCTGTGGGCAGCATTGCCAGCATTGCATGGGACCCTGGGACTCTGCTTGTCCCTCCCTGACAACCATCTCCAGAACTGCCCCTCCCTGCAGTTTTCCAAAATACTTGTTTTAGATTCTGCTTGTCCCTCCCTGACAACCTCCCTGCCCCTCCCTGCAGTTTTCCAAAATACTTGTTTTAGAGCTCCTGGCTATATGAGCAAATATTTTAGTACAGGGGAATGAAGAAAGAACTTAATTTTGACAGAAACATATTTATTTTCTGTCTGTTCCAAATAGAAAATAGTTTGGAATTACTCTCCCTAGCTGCCTGATACACCTCCCTGTACAGAGTTATTTAAATATGTATGTACTTACTTTTAGACTGATGACCATGGAAATGGTTGAACAGGATGACAATGCAGTGGATTCTCTGACAGAGAGAAGTGCTGG